TTACATACATAAGGTTTCTCCCCAGTGTGAATTATTTCATGTATTTGACAATCAGACTTTCGTATGAAAGATTTCCCACAATGCTTACATACATAGGGTTTCTCCCTAGTGTGAATTCTTTCATGATTTTGACAAGAACTGTGTGTGCTGAATGCTTTCCCACATTGCTTACATGCATAAGATTTATCTGTAGCATGATTTTCTTCATGTATTTCATAACATGTCTGTGTCATGAATGCTTTTCCACACTGCTTACATACATAAAGTTTCTGCCCAGTGCAAATTATATTACGTTTGTGAAAGGAATGACTATGAGATAATGCTTTCACACATTCCTTAGTTACATAGGGCTTCTCTCCAACATATATTCTTTCATTTGGGTGAATATAGTATGAAGACATAAAAGTTTTCTCCCATTGTTTGTACTCATATGGACTCCCCACACCACGCTTTCTTGCTTGAATTTGAACATGACTGGGTGTGCTGGAGGCTTTCACATTTTTCTTACCTAGAAATGTGTTCTCCTCAGGGTGAGTTTGTTCGCTAAGATCAGAGTAAGCTTTCCCACATTGCTCAGACTGACATTGTTTCTCTCCAGTCTTTCTCATTTCATGTTTCTGAAAGGATTGGAAATCACTCCAGGTTTTTCCATGTTCACTACATTTATACAGCATCTCTTCCAGTCTCAAACACTTGTCTGCATCATTTCTGTAAAGGTAAAAGGACAAAAATATTAAAAACAATGAAAAAGGTGTCCATATTAATAGTCAATCAGGACAAGTTCTCATTTGATGCCTGCTAAGAAATTCTGATGATAAGTTGACCTAATGGCCTGGACCATGCCTCCAAAACCCCCATTCTCATGGGAATGGTTTTCACATAGGAATATTATTTGGCATATGTTTGCAAAACACACTATCAAGTTTCATTTTAGGGGATGGGTACATGTTTGTGTCATATTGATCATATTTTATATCTTTTCACTCATCACTCACCCCTTTTCTCCTTACCCTGATCAACTTTCCTATCTCCCAAAAGTCAGCCTTTCTGTTTTCTATCATCTTTCCTTTCCTTTACTCCCTAAACATATTTTTACTTTTTTATTTAAAAATTTCACTTAACATTATGAGATGGAGTCCCATCTAATTTTATTTTTGGGAAATAATATAAATTGTTCTTTTTGGCTGATTATATAGTATAGTTTTTTCATTGGTGAGAATTAAACACAGGTCTTAGCAGGGGATTATATGTCCAGCTTGGTTTTTATTTTGAAAGAGATTCCTATTGGTCATTAATTTGCTCAGGCTGAACTTCAATTTGTCATCCTACAGACTCAGCTTCCCAGCCTGCAGGCATTACAAGAATGCACCACCATGCTGAGCTGATTTCACATTTTAATCATCCAGGCATCTGGTGATGGGCATCTAGGATCTTTCCAGAGCTTGGTTATTCTGAATTGCTTCCAGGACTTAGATATTGTGAACACCCATGGGTGACCTCCTTTGATCTCTGGAACACAGGGATCACTAAAACTTGATGATTTTAACTCATTTCAGATATAACCAGGGAGGTACACTTGGATCAAATGAAATCTTACATTTTCACATTTTAAGATATCTGCATATTGATTATCACAATGGGTTCCATTTTACATTCCCATCAACAATGTATGAGGCTGATTTCTAAGAGTTTTAAAACATGGACAGCTCTATATCCTGGAAGATGTTTGGAAAACATCTATTACAACAACCCTAGCACTCATTTGCATTTTGAATACCACTTCCATGTTAGCAATTTTCTAGATAATGAATGTGTCATATTCACATGTATACATGGACATTTTAAAGATAAGTTCCTAGCACAGTTCACAATTTATTCATTTCATTCCTGCCTATATACAGTACTGAAGTGCAATCTCATACATTTCTATGATGTTATGAAAAATTTTTTATATGAACAGAGTAGCTACTGTCACTTGGTGCATGATATCAGTACTACTTTAGTTTCTTGTATTGAAATATTTCTATATTCAATTGTAACATTATACAAAATAAACCAATATGCATCTAAGGAAATTTTTTCAAGATGAAATAAATTGGAACACAGCCTCATTTCTTTGGTTTCCTTGGTTTTAGTATTTCTGCTCTCACATTGACTCTTGAGGAATATTCCTTTTTCTTGGGAGTGAAAATCACCTTAGATTTCTTGAGCAAGTTTTGTACTGTTCTTCCATTTGCTGGTTACCACAGGTTCTTCCTGAATTGTAGACATAGAAATATAACAAGTCACTATATCATTATATAAAAATTAGTAGTTTCCAGTTAGATTTACGGTATAATATAACCAGGCCTGAGACATTCTTCAAATGTTATAACATTCTACTTAACCTATATCACAGAGCTGGGTGTGGTGGCACACCTAGAATCCCACCACTCTGGAGGCTGAGGAAATAGGAGTTCAAGGCCAGACTTGTCTTCTCAGTGAGTTTGAGCCCAGCCTGAACATCACAAAGTGAGACACTGTCTCAAAACATAAATAAATAAATAAATAAATAAATAAATAACTTTTTAAAAGCAAAGAAAAAATATCACTGAGCAAGCTTGTATAAGAAAATGTTATCCTTACCTATAGCAGCCATATGCATACAGATTTCCCACATCACATCCCTGTAGAGCTTCTTTTGGAGTGGATTCAGCAAAGCCCATTCTACCTTGGTAAAGTTCACAGCTACATCCTCAAAGGTCACGGTCTCCTAAAGAATGACATGTTTCCTGAAGGTTCAGACACACACTCTGAGATATAGCAACTCCTCTGATAAACAGGTAAACTGAAGATGATTCCTTCAAATATTAATTCCATGTCTTGATCATCAAACCCATGTATATGTAAATACTTTAACACAGTAATTCTGACACTAAATTGTAACATATTACTCAAGTTATAGTGGAACAGTAGCACTAGTTCTCCTTCAGGATCACCCACATTGTATTTGTGCACTGTCTTTAAAGCAAAGCTCATAGAGAGGGAGCCCACAGATCACAATCCAAAAAACACAGGGGCACATAAATATCTAATGAACGGTTCTGATATACCATAGATAATATCTCTTTTCAAATCTGGTTATTCACAGCATTCAGTCCATCTTACTTTGCACTCATGAAGAATTTTGAAACTTGAATCTGGTTTCATAGAAAGAAACTTAATTGAATATTAAACAAGGTTTACAAATAATGAAAATGCTAAAGGAAACACAGTTGTATTGGAGCAAGTCTATGTATGAACAATGAAATAGGGGAAAGGTGACATATTATCTTGTAGCTCAGCAACACCAAATGGTCTCCTTGCACTCAGATATAAGAAATACAAGGATGGTATATGGGAAGGTAATGAGGGGATAAATGTTAATGAAATATATTCAAGGCAATGAAAATGAAAATATCACAAAGTAATTTGTCATTAAATACAAAGGGAAAACCAACCAGGTGTGGTGAAATATGCATATAATCCTTGTACTTGGGAAGCTGATATAGGAGGATTGCCATGAGTTCCATGTCCAGCCTAGGCTTTGTAGGAAGTTTAAGGGCAGTCAAGATTACAAAGTAAGACCCTGCCTCAAATTCCTCCCAAAATGGAGCAGTAAAAAAAAGTTGTTCTGTCACTCACTACTCACATCTTTGATTTGTTAAAAAATTATGGCTGTACAGTACAATAAAAGACTAACATTCGACATCTTGTGAGCAAGGTGATAGCTTGCATAATATACATGAAACACATTCAAATTCCACCTTTCATGTCAGTGTATGATCAGTAGAGAGAATGAGAAATGGACCTAAGGAAAGTAAGACAGTCTTCAGTGGATCCACAGTTAAATAGAATACTGATTCATGATGGAGCTGGTGTTACCCATCCCTGGAAGAAATCACAATGTGTTTCATTTATGTTCAAGGAGAAATAGGTATGTATTTGGAAATCTGGATTGTATACTCTTCTATGTACGTAAGTTACATATTAAAATAGGAAAGATAAACTTGAATGCCTCAAGAATTTATAGTGAAAAAACACTCCGAGAAGAAAAAGTGCTTCCTCATTTAAAAAAATCAGGTAGACATCAGAAGTAGAAGGAGAAATTGAAATCTATGAAATTCTTAACAGATAAAACAGAAAGTATTTGCTTTGTACATAACAAAGATTTTGTATAAAGAATAAAGATTCATCTAAAAAGTACAACACATCTGACTGAAGAAAAACGCTGAATATAGAACAACATTCAACTCTTTTTTTTTCAACATTCAACTCTTGAGAATATCAGTAAAGAAATCTGAAGTGTGCAAAAACACAACCAGTAGACTTATGCAAAAATGGAGAATCAGCTGCTACACTTCATACTCATCTGCTTTACTTTTGAGTTACCAAAACCCACAGACCAGTGACTTCTTTCCATACCTAGAAAATGTATTTTGCTCTTATTCCTGGGAATAAATGAGATTCAAGAAAAATTGAGGAATTACGAACTTTATGACCAACGGAGTGGATGAGAAATACTGTTCCCTTCATTCGTATATCATTCCTTGTGAACAACAGTGAGACAAAATAAATAAATACAAAAATCTCTCACAGAATATTTTCCTGTGCAATATCCATAATATCATTGAAATTTTAAAGGAAGGAAGTTATAAGAGAACAAATTATTCATGGAAAATCACACATGTCAAACTTTGGAAATGTTGCCAAAGGAGGAGGGTGGTCATCAACAAGGCAAGAACAATTTGTGACAGGGTATTTATCACCTGATGCAATGCTGTTTTCAGCAAAGCCCTACCTCATTCAGCATGTCTTATCTTGAATAATGTCTACAAACTTTCAATGAACTATAGCAATAATGTGAACAATGGTGCTTTTCATTTGCTTTCCTATAGGAATTGCATGTATATGTGAGTCCCTACTTCAAGAAAATGTGTGAGTTTAACTGGCAGACTTTCTGGAAATTGCCCTTTACAGCAGGATTTCTTCTTCTCTCATTTAATATGATAAAATATCATATATATAATTTTTGGTATGATACACTGTAAAACTTCATTAATTAATTTCTTCATTAATTTCACTGCTCTAAGATAGAGGTATGTGCATGCTTGGCAAGTGATCTAACACTGATTATAATCATAGGGAATGTTAAGGTTTTTTTCAATATTTAAGTGACTTTTAAACAACCTATAATGACTTCAGAACAGTGGGGAAGTGATTGTTAATTTTGGAATTTACCAAGTTCACAATAAAGCCCAGAGTGGAGGATGGAACTGGTATGTTTGAGATCTCCTATTTAAGCTTATAACGGACTTAGGATAATTAGATGTCTTAACCACTTTCCTGTCACTGTGACACAATATCCAACAACCTGACGTTAGATGAGTTGGTTTTATCTTGACTGTTTTAGTTCATGTCCTCCTGGTTCCAAGGCAGAAACTGGATGGGAAAGCTCCAAGAAGGTGGGAAATGTATTCCAAACATGGCAGCCAGACAGGAGGGAAAGGTGGATGTAGCTACAGACATGTACCTAGTAACCCACCTGCCACAAACCACACCTTCTAACAGTACATTCCAATACTGAAAATACCAATGCACAAATCTACTGATGTACAGGGCCCACAAAATCCAACTTTCATTCTTAAGAAAAATTTAGTGGACCTTGTATAATGGTATATTGGTGTGCTGCAGAAAGAAAACATGGCATGCAACAGAGCCCAGTCTCACCCACCCAGAAACCTCATGTAAGTCCTGAGTCTCCTCTCAGTCCTCCTGCTTTCTACACAGCATGGTGAGTAGTGAAGCTGCAGGCACTGACCTGAAATCATTGGGGTTCTGGCCACATTAAAATTACCATCCTTATATAGGACTGGATGCTTAGGTCTCAGCCCCACCCACAGGGCTAGAAAGGACCAAATGTGTATGTACCAGTGAAAATTGACATATAGAAAACAACATTTCTCAACTCATGTGGAGAGGCCCACATCCTGCCAAAACTGGATCTGTCCACCTCCACCCAGAACTTATGTCTTTAATACAAAGTTGACTTCTGTCTTTGGTCATTTGGTCCTGCAATCACCTTCTTGGGTACTGAGGTCTCCCAGGTCCTTCCCATACAACCAGTCCACAGAACCCACACAGCAAGTTAGACTGACCTAGCTTGGGAGTCTTTCAGCAACACACTGGGAAATTCTGACTTCAGTGCCTGACAAAATAGGATTCTATTCTCTGGCCAGGAAGCCTCATTTGACAGCTCATACTAACCCAAACTCTTCTTCACTGATACAAGGCTGCTCCGTGTTCTGCTGACTGAGCCAAAGGGAAAACAAAGAAAATACACTATCTGCTTAATTGGAGGTGAAATGATAGACTGTATACAAAACACTTGCCCACCCAGGTTTCCCCCTGGATCACTGACTTCACACATCCTATTGGATCAGTGACTTGAAATACGATTTTCTCCTAGCTTTGCAGAGCTGCTAACATCTACTTACTGTACTCCAGCAGCTCTTTTTATTTCTTGTCTTAGATGTTGGCATCACAGCTCTATGACTGTACTTCCAGGTTCAATGAGATTTAGAGAAAACCACCAAACCCAAAGAAGAATCTGTGCCCAGGCAAAGGTTGAACACAATGCAATAGAAGTACTAAGGTAGTCAGAGGGCAGAAAATTGAAGCAGACATTCAGCTTCATGGCACAGACTTTCTCACACATGATCTCTTACTCTAATCATCTTCAGTAAAGAAAACAAAAGCATGCCAACAGGGAATATAATTATTTACTGAATGAACAAATTGGCATAATATGTTCATAGTATTACACAAAGGAATCAAGATGAAAATAAAATCTTCAATTGCCTCAGACAGGCAAGTTACTTTAAGTCACAACAAAACCCAGAATTCTGAACACTAATCCTTGCAGGGAGGCCAGAATGATAGCTCTAATGTAGCCCCACCCTCAATTGCTTCCCTGTGATGAGGCAGGGAAAGGTAAAAACTTCAGGTGGTAAATTTTCCAAAATATGCTCTTCCCTCCTCACAGGATGAAAGTATCTCGCCTCTGGCATATTAATGTCACCAAATTAATATTCTCTCCTGATGTCACTTGATGGCTAGACTTCGACTGTCACATTGGTTGGTTGGGGAGATACCTAGGTTGTTGGTAAAGACATGTCTCAAAGTGTCTGACCGAGGCAAGGAAGCAGGACCTATGAGTTACATCAGGTGCATGGCCTGTTGCTCTCAGCCTCTTTTTCTGCTGAAAACTCCCCATTGGAAGACTGAAGACTCAATGGTAGGAGCCTGAAGAAACTTGAGACCAGCATCCATAGGCAAAGGCAAATACCAAAACTCATCCACAGAAAAATAAGAGATTTTCTTCCTTTTCAATCCATCTAGGGTACAAGCCTATTGATTATTGTCAACCATCCCTCTTGCTCTACAAGCCAGTTTTCCACGGAGAAACACAAGTGGCTAGGAGCTTCTTACTCATCAAGGGTTCACACCACAATTAATCATCAAAAACACTAGGTCTTTTTTTTGCTAAACATGCCCTTCACAGATATTCTAGATACATAGTAATTATTTTCTGATTCCATCAAATCTTTGGAGGTGACAAAGCAAACATTTTCCAGTAAGAGCCCTATGACAATCAGACTCACATCCTCAGACAGAAGAAACCCACAAAATAATCTGTATGTGAGACTCCTGCTTTCCAACACACTGCAGATTGTCATAGTCAAGAGTACTTCATGCTGACCCAGGATTTAAAGCAGTAAATAATTTTTTTCATGATAAATCAAAGATGTCAAAACCATTTTTACATGACAAAATTTATCCAAAACCATCAAATATGAATTGTCCATTTTTTTTTTCTGTCCATTTCCTCCCTTACCACTCCAGTTAATTATAGGCCCCAGAAGCTCCTTTCCTAGTGATTCACGCATTCTATTCATCTTCTTAAAACTATTTCTGTTCACCCACACAACTAATGCAAGGAGTCAGTTCTATAATAAATCCTAAGATCCTTAGAAATTTCTCTGCTTTTCAAAAAGTGTAACTGCTCTAAGTTTGAATTCTTCTGAGGCTAAATCACAGCACTCAATTGAAATTATGAAATTTAAGCTGTTTTATAGGACCTACAATAACATTTTAGATGTATACTACAGACAAACTCTACAGGTGGGGCTAACCCTATCCCTAACCCTAATGCTAACTACTCAGCCCTGTGTCTGCTAGTTGAAGTTTTCCATTCTATCCTCTTGTCCTGGTGATAGAAGCCAAACAGTATAATCAGAGTAGGGCACTTCTATAATAATAATAATAATAGTAATAACAATAACAATAATAATAATTCAAGCAAACAAAGAAAAAAAACCCAGATTATCATTCCCTTTTCCAAACAGTATTATACTGCTCTCCTGATTCAATAGCTCAGGAGAAAGAGATTAATACAGCATTCCAAAGAGGAAACAATCTCATGAGTGTTATATTCTACAGAGGAGTACACGAAGAGCTGAAGGAATGAGTCTATGGATTCTACTTAAGTTTGAAAAGGAAAATATCTTGATCAACCTAAAAGTAATTGAAAACAAAATGTAGTTGATAGGTCTCCCACTACCTCAGCAGCTATTATGTAAAGTAGCTGCCCTCTTCCTATCGTGCCTTGCCCCCTCCCCTGTGTGACGTCATGCCAAGATGGTTGCTCCCACCAAGGAGTAAACCCTTCTTCCCAGCATGCTCCTGTTCCTGCCTAGAAAGTAACCTAATACTCGCTCACCTCCTACCACCTAGTGACATCACCGGCTACTCCATTCCCTAGTCACTACCTCACTCAACCCCGCCTCAGCCCCTACAAACCCGACCCCAGTCTCTATAAAAGACTCTCCCTGCCCCGGCCATATTGCTTTCATCTCTCCTTTGTTCAGAGACAGCCCGGCAGATCTATTCCCCTAATAAAGGCTTGTTGTGGCCTGGTCTGGTCTTGGTCTTCGGCCTTTTACCTGACAGTAGTAAAAATGCACAAAACCTACTCAATTAAGCCAACATCATCGCTAAGCCCTTGATCCTGTTAACTTGCTCAGCACACATATTTGAGCTGCGTTTAAGAAATCTAATGGAACACAAAGCCAAATTTATAATAGAACACTAAACATAGCATGCACCTTATTGAATACAGTTCACTGTAAATCACTGACTGTTCAGCTGTAGTGTCTGTTACTGAGAAAGCAGTGACTCATTATTGCGATTCATAATGAGGAAGAATTATATTGTATTGTGCCATAGACCACTAGTGTGAAAAATGAGTAAAATTTAAAATTAAATATAAGATCTGTACTAAAAAAAATTTCCTTTTCAGTTCTAACTCGAGGTCTCACACACTTTAGACCAGTTAGTTTGAGGTGGATGTATACCCACAATATTTACTTCACATTGAAAAAGGACGTTGTTCAGTTATTCAGGCTAGATTTAGAGGTTTTCCTATCTACCAAGTGGCTGGAATTAAAGGTGTGCAACACAATGCCTCAGTGATTTTATTTTACCCAAGCCCTGAAATCTTGGTAAATTATGGTGATTTAGAACCCCAATCTTTAACTAACAAGGTGGCACTTGTCTGTGCTTTCAACAATCAAGGAGGTGGAAATAAGATCAGAACTTCTCCCAAGCCTGGAAAACTTAGTAAGACCTAGGCTCAAAAATTAAACAAACAAACAAACAAACAAACAAAATCAAAAAAGTTCAGTCCCTATACAATGAAAAAGATCAATTCCTAATTTCTAATTTTCCCTCAAAAATGACTAGATTAGCTGATCAGTGGTGACAGAAGAAATATTTACCTGTTCCAAAGTTCCCTTGCTTTCTTTATGCCTGTGACTTTTCACACTGTCAGACCCAGCCTGCAGACAGTTCTTCCTTTATGGTCATACTAAGCACCCTCTGGCTTCTGGAGAAGTTTCCTGTTGCAGTTGCTGATTTTTGCCTCCCTCCAAAATCCCTGCTCTCTCATTTCCTTTTTACTCCCCTTTGCTCTTTCCTATTCAAAAAACCCTTTTATTCTATTCTTATTCTTCATTCTTATGCTCAAAGACCTTTACGATAGGAATTGACCCCTACTTCAGTACTTTTTTTATACAAAGTCCATCTCAATCAGTGTTTTAATTTTTAAAACAATGTTTAGAAACAGTCCATAGACTACAGCAATTATTTCAAAGATGATGCACATTTCCCTTTACAATCATACCTAGATCTTATGCATGTCCCTGTAGATCCCCCAGTTCAATCCATTTCTCAGTGAGGGCTCAATGTGCAGCCTCTTTATGAAGCTGTCCTTAGCAAGAACACTTTTCCCTCCCTTGTTAATACATTATCATCCCCTCCAACATTCTCAGCATTATACATTCTCTGGAAAGCCTAATTGAAAGTCTCCTGGTAAAAAATACTACACTTAGTAAGGTCATAAATAAGGCACCTAGCTAGTGAAAGGGCGTGAGACACAGTTGGGTAATTAGCCATTTGATAACAATTAAAATGAGAAGCCAGGCATACTTGAGCACACCTGTGATCACATCACTTGGGAGGCTGAGGCAGGAGGATTACCACAGGTTCAAGCCCAGCCTGGGCTACACAGTGAGACCTTTTCCTCGAAAACTTACATACAAACATACATACATAAATAAAAGGAATTAAAATGAGAATAGATTATTACCTAGGATTTTGGACCAAGAGTGAAATGTCTGCATTACAAGGAATGCAGCCCTCTCCCTACTAAAAGGAGTTGTAGCCACTCCTACTAAGCTCCTGAGATTCAAAGAACTTAAAATAAAAAATAACCAGTTTTTGTCTGAAATCCCAGGTTCCTTTAAACCCTGTGTGCTGAGGAAATGGATTACAGCCTGACTTCAAAGTGGCTGTTTAAATCCACGGACCCATGTGTGATAGGTGGCCACTAAACAATTCAACTACGTGGTCACTAAATACATCAGCTATTACTGTGCTCACTTGTCTCTGATTATCTCACAAATGAGCGGCCACTTGACCACCCAAATGGAACACTTCCTGGAAATGAGGAAGCTACTCTTCTTTAAAGTAAAATCTCTCCTAATATCTTTTTTTTGGTTGAAAACCTCTTTCTTCTATGTGTGAGAGCAGACCACGAACTCTGTTCATGTAGTAATATCATTGTGAGCAGAAGTCTCACGCAAATAATTAAACCAACAGTTTTTTTTTCATTGCTGAGTATAGAAACCAAGGTTCCCCCAAAGCCCCTGCTCTCCTCAGATTGGTGGAGAAACAGCTCTGCCTGGGGCTGCCCAAGAAATCATTCTGGGCTGGCAGTGTCACAGTTACAGTATGCTGGAGACTTGAAACTCTCCCTCCCTGAATAAAAGGGAAAAGGGACAGATGATGATGCAGAAACAAACACTAGGAAGACCTAGGTGTCTGAAGCTAAGCAGGGAGGCTGCAGATTCTCATGGCTGGTTCTGGGTACTTTCTTTCAAAACACACCCGATTTCATCCCATTCCCAGATTCTGTCCCACAACATCACCATTGCTTGGCTTGTGGTTCCCCACGATCTTTTGAATGCAGCTCGCAGCCAGAAGAAATTACAGAAAAAGATGGTCTAGTCGGCCGGGGTGTCTCAGCAACTCTCTCAAGGTATATACTTTGGCGCCATGATACAGGAAGAGGCCGAGTCTCTCCCTCAGCCCACCTGATTGGATAGTTCGGACAGCCGCGCCTTCATCGCTGATTGGCTCCTGCTCCATTGCCAGCCCCCAGAGCTGAGAAGGACAAGAGAAAAGAGATCCTCTAGCAGCTGGAGTGGAGCTCAAATAGTAATCAAATGATAACCTGGGGAATTCTGAACCACTTTCTCTCCCACGATATCAGACTCATCTCGCATGAGAGCTGCCCTGGTTTCTTAAAGGACTCAGTGGACTCTCCCTGAAAGTGGATCACAAGTGTCCTCAGAAGGTTCCAGGGTCAATGTCCTATGAAAGTATCAGTCCCCTGATATGAGAAAACATCAGGGCCTGGGATTTAGCTCATTGGCGCTGCTCCTGCCTCACAAGCACAAGGGCCTGAGTTCAATTCCTGGTCCCCCCCAAAATTAAAACAATACAGGAAACATCACAGATCTAGGCTAGCATGGAAAAGAATGGAATAGAGCGAGGTATGCTTTGGGGAATGAGGCAGTAGGATTCATTGCCAAGATTTTCATAGTCTCTCAGTCTGCTCATTATCACCCAAGAAAATGAATGTATGGCCCCCAAGAGGAATACAATAATTGGGTAAATGAAGAAGTTAGATTTGTATGATAGCAGTATTCTGCAGAAGAGTAAAGATGAAAGAAAAACATTCCAACTTCCTCAGATAAACTACATATTTTATCCAGGGTCATAAAAAATGCCTGAATCCTGAAGATAAACATATAGAAAAGTATAAGGGCCAGAAAGATTGCTGAAAAAGAGCCCCACACTTGATCACTTCCTGGTGATGAGACTGCGATTCACAAGGACTTTTGACTGTGAGCTCCCCATGCCCAGTGGCCCATCACAGGTTGAAAATCCCCACCTTTCAACATTCATATTCCTAAAAAAATGTGTTGCATTGAGCCAGGTGATAAATTCTTAGTAATAACTTGTTTGGCTTGAGAGCTGTGTGGGGTATTAGGAAAGCTCACGTCCAGGTGAGCCTGGCTGAGTCATGATAGTGTGAGCTCAGGGACCAAACTTGGCCCCTGGCCCCTTTCCCGCACCCTTTTCTCTTTCTGTTTCTTGCCTTCTCTTTTTCTTTATTTGTACATACCATGATCTTTCTGCATTAGAAGCAATCAAACCCAAACTGAAGTCTTTTGCATAATAAGATAAATACAACTTTTCTTCTTAAGTTCTGTATGTCAGGTATTTTTCCTGTAATAACAAAAGCAACAAAGTCCAAGTACATTTCAAATTCAGGTTAGGTTTCTGTTCTCACTAAACTTCCAAATACCTCAATTCTTTCTTCAGAAAACTGTATAAATGTGTTTTTTCTATGAATATTCTAAACCAATTTCTTGTTTGTACAGATTTCAGTGGAAACTGTCTAATTTCTTCTTTAATTTCTCCCATGACTCATTGGTCATTGAAGAGGGTATTGTTTTCATTTCCATGTGTTTATGTAGCTTTTTTGGTTTCATTTGCCATTTGTTTTCAATTTCATTGACTCTGATCTGATAATATGCATATTACAATTTCAATTCCTTGGCATTTACATAAGAATATTCTGTAAGCTAGTACTTGGTCTATTTTGGAGGATCTCCCATGTACTTCTGAAAAGAATGTGTATTCTGCTGTTGGGTGGAACACTCTGTACATATGTATTTTTGAGGGCATACTGAGGGCAACCGATACCACCCCACTGAGTCAGGCAAAGTTGAAGCAATACATGTAGTTTATATTGAGCCAAAGACAAGAGGACTGTTGACCTTGAGTGTAGGGTGAGGGGAAACGTTTTTAGGGTAGTTTGGGTAGGAGAGAGGAGGTCATTGGAGGAGAGTGGAAAGTTTTGAGATTGGGAAGGGGCCAGTCTGTTGAAGTACATGATGTCTCTTTTGGATGGTGGGCATCCGGGCTTATAGGTGTTGCTGTGGGTAGTGGGCATATTTTCCTAGAACTTGTGTTCTGGCTTCCTGTTGTACATTTCTTGTAGTTATGAATAGCTTGGGGTGTGGCTGTGAGATGCATTTACTGTTCTGCCTGGGTGGGAGACCTGACATTATTAAGTCCATTTGTTCAAAAGTTTGGTTCAACTCAGATATTTCTTTGTTGATTTTATATTGAGTTGATCTGTCTATTTGTGACAGTGGGGTGTTGAGGTCCCCCATCATTATTTTATTAGTACTTGTCTTGATTTTTCACATTTTTAGTGTTTGTTTTTTCACAGTTGGGTGTATTGGTATTTGGTGCCTATATAATTATGATTGTCATAATTTCTTTTTGGATGTTTCTTTAGCAAGTAGGTAGTGATCATCTTTGCCTCGTCATTTGTAGAAAACTTTTATGTATTTATGTATTTATTTATTTTGGTACCAGGTATGGATTTCAGGACCTTGCACTTTCGAAGCAGGCACCGCTCAGCTAAATCCCAGTCCTTTCTGATAAGTCTTGTCTTGAAATCCACTTTGTCTGCAATTAGAATAACTATTCCTGCTTTTTGTCTGGGTTCCTGCTATCTGGAATATTGTTTTCCATAGATTGTCAGACTATGAATCTCTTTTTGACTTAATTATGTTTCATTTAGGCAGCATAGTGTTGGATCTTATTTCTTGATTCATTCTATTTGTTTATTTTGTTTGGTGAACTGAGACCATTTCCATTGATAGTTATAACTGAAACATATAAGCCTTGTCATTATATTATTTTCCTTGGTTGGTTTCTCTTCTTTTTTTCAAATTTAATTGCTTTCTAGGCCTGGTGAATTTATTCTACTGGTATCCTAGGCATTGTTATCTTCATGTTGTTTTTCTAGAATATCCTTCAGAACTTTTTGGAGTGTTGGTTTTGTGGTTATAAATTTCTTCTGGTGTTCATTATCATGGCAGTATGTATTAGTCCATTAATTTTGTAAGAAAATTCTGTAGTGTGCATCAATCTGGGATGGAAGTTTTCTTTCAGGTCTTGAAATAGTTCACTACAACCTCTCCTTGACTTTAAGGCTTGTGTTGGGAAGTCTACGGTGCTTCTGATGAATCTTCCTTATAAGTGATTTGTTCCTCTTCTTTAACAGCTTCTAATATTCTGTTCTTGTGTTACATTTCTGGAATTTTGACTAGTATATACCTTGGTGTAGTTTTTTCTGACCATTTCTATTTGGAGTTCTATATATCTCATTTATCTCTATGTCAAATTCTTTTTTTCATGCTGGGAAAGTTTTCTGCTATTACTTCTGTAAACATTTTTTTGCCCTTTTTGTTAGGTTCTGATTTTTCATTGATTCCAATTAAACTTATATTAGTCTTCTTTATACTGTCTAGCAGCTGTTGGATTAGTTTTTGGTGGTCCCTTGCTATTTTTAAGAAATCTTTCATTTGGGGATCACCAGTTAAACCCTGTCTGGAGATCTGATATTCTATCTGATAATCTGTCTTCACATTGACTGAATCTACTGCATGAACATTCAATACAATTTTTAAATCTTTTGCATTTCTGTTTGATTCTGTTTTATGAAATCTATTTCTTTGTTTGGCATTCATGGTTTCCATGTCTTTCCTAAGCTTCTCTAAGTTTTTCTTATTTCTCTCTAGTATAGATTCACTCATTATTCTATTCATTTTCTTCATCATGTCTTTAGTTACCTGTGTAATTATTTCTGGTTTGACTTTGTCAAGAGACATATTTATCTGCTTTTTCGCTTCTGGTGCTACCATTTCAGAAATTTCAGCTGGGTAGCTTGTGATTTCTTGACCTTAATGACCCCTGGATTTGTTTTGGGGGAGTTAGGATTTTCAGGTGTATTTTGCTTCCATGTTTTCTCATTTTTCTTTTTTTAAAATTTGTTTTCTGTATTGAGTCTTGTAAATTGCTTAGAATATGTTGTTTCACTACTAGTAACAAGAACTCTACATTTAGTGACTACTTTTCAGAGATGTCTTCTCGGCATAGCTGGCTTTAGCCTTTTTAGTCTATCCCAATATCCTACCTCTTCCATTTATTACTGACTAAAACTCACAGGCTGTTTGGGTTAGTGCCCTGTTCAATAGTACTGGACTTCGGTATTGTTTCTGACCCCAGACAATCTAATATTAGCACACAAGCAAGATCAATTGATCAGAACAACTATGTCACCTTAGCTTAATCAGTATAATCAATAATAATAATAATAGCATCAAGCAGAATTGAGAAAATGACAAATATAATGACTAATACTTTGCCACCTTCAACCATAGGTATGAAATTCATAGTTTTATAGCAAATTTGAAAACAAACCAGAAAATTATATACACTATATATTCAGGCCTGGAGCTAAGTGTGAAATCTCCTGGTGCCAGAGAGCAGGCTGTGTCCTAGAGTACAGGACTGTGATGAATGTGTGTGGCCAGCCTGGGGCCTCTCTGCAGGTCACTGAATGGTCAGTGTGGAGGGTGTTTATGGTGAGATTTATGCTTCGGCCAGGGAACTCTTATTAGAGCAGGTTTCCATCCATCAGGTGTATGGCTCTTAAATCTGCAGAGACCTGGAGAACCAACGCTCATGATCCATTCTGATAATATTGAGTGGGATGGGAAAATGGCAGAATTATTTTTCTTTTAGAAAAAGGAGGGAAACACTTGAGAGAACAGTCATGGAGAGTGAACCAAGAGACACCCAGAGAGCTACAGGACTTTGTGCTTCAGGGATTTAATTGCACTGTGTGAGTTGCCATGCTGTAGGCAGAAGGTCACAGCTCAGGAAAACCTGCACATCATCCTGAGACTTCTCAGCACACTGTAGCCTTCCATCTACAGGCCTCCTTAGAGCCACAGGACCTTGAGTGGACTCCGTGGCTGCTTCAGCTGAGCAACATTTCATCCAAATCAACATCACATTGTGACAGGTGAGTCTCATCCCCTTGAACGTTAAAGTCATCTTTATTTTCACAAATAAGAGAGCACATAGGAGATCCTTGAGGTGTCATTAGTGTGGTGATAGAGCCACCCACCAAGACTCTACAGGAGCCTACAGGAACCACAGCCTTCACCACTAATGAGCTCCATGTAACGCAGTTACCTCTAGATTTAAAAGGTGAAGGAAAGAAGGAGCTGAAGGAGTATAAAACCTCTGCTCAAAACCTGTGCTGGATCCACAGAAAGTCATGCCTAGAGTAGTCTTGAGACTAATTTTTATTGAGAGAAAAAGAAGGCTTTGAATCCTTTGTAGTTTTATTGGTCACTGACCCGGGACACAGATTAGACGTTTTCTCTAACCTGAATCTCAAATTGGCTCAATCAGGAAACCCACTGAATTCCAACTTGTGCACCTCAGATTCCTGTGAGCTTCCTTATGATCTTATCCTGGAGATCAGGTCAGAGTCCTTTCTCCCCCAACAGGGACAGCACACATTTAGTGGACATAAGAATGTGTCAGCTTATCAGGAGAATATGCTTCTGCACAGAGAGTACAGTGATAGTCCTGGGTTCATGACAGAAAAAATGATTCAGGGAGAACATTTTAGAGACTAAGCCCAAGCATGGCAGGAGAGAGCCCTGGACTTCCCTCTGCACCGGATCCTGTGCTGACTCTGCTCAGTGCATCCCAAGCTCCTCTTGGTCCTGAGCACCCCTGCAGGGAAGTTTGTGTCTGGGCTCACACTGATGTCCCCTCACTGTGTGTTGCACAGTAATACAGGCCTGTGTCCTCAATTCTCAGGCTGTTCATTTGCAGATGCTGTTACTTCTTGATGTTATGTCTAGAGATGGTGAATTGACCCTTTATAGAATTGGGGTAGTGTGTGCTAACACCACTGGGTTAATTCATCAACCCACTCCAGCATATTTCCTTGGGCCTGGCCAACCCAGCTCATCCATATCAGACTTCACGACAGACATGGACACAAAATCATCCCTAAAACTCCGAATCATGAGGGCAGTTCATTGTAGGGAATGCCATGTGTGTTTGTGGGTTTGAGATTTAGGTACACTACATGGATGCACCTAGATGTTCTGAAAAACCCCAGGAGGGGACAAATGTTGGAAAGTACACCAAGGAGAGAGAGAGAAATAAGCCTGGGTGTCAGGGAGCCCTGAACAGGGTCTGACAGGTGGTGGAGGCAGAGCCTGCACAGTGCTGTCCTGTCCTCTCCTGTGTCTTGCTGATTATGGCTTCACTAACTAACTTCTCTTCTCAGACGGACCTGGCCCTGCAGCTCCTTCAGCTTTAATCCTTTCCTAAACAGACCAGTGTGCATGACAATGTGAGATTTTGTGTTCTCTGTGATTTCCTGTCCCTGTGACCATCATAAGGAAAGTCTAGGTGTCTGGCTTATTTTTCCCTGACAGCAATTCCTTTCTGGGAGACTGAATTTCCTTTAACTTCTAACCCTATGAACGATTTTGACTTCTTTATGTCATCCTTGATGGATGGGTGACTTTTCGGTATTTAGAATAATTTTCCTCCAAATAGGATAATATTCTGGTAAAGTCCTTTCCTGAGTGTCTTCTGTCTGAAGCAGGGTCTGTGTCTGTTTCTCAGTGATCAGGCCTCCCTTTCCCCTGTTAGAGCCTTGTATGAATTATTTGAATCTTCCCTTGAGATCCTGGGGGCTTCTGGAGGTAATATGTGGAGTATCTGTCCATCAGAAGCATGACCTGACCTCATCCTGGGCCCCTGATGACCCCCAGTCATCCATCATCTCCCCCTCAGTGGCTCCTCCACTGTGTAACTCAGGCTCCTTCTGCACCAGGAAGTGGGACTCACCTGGGATTTGGATCTTCCTGTATCTCTAGGTTTCTTTGAAATCAATCATTCAATCTGCAATTGTATTTCTTTAAGGGATCTGTGTACACATTGTGATGATAATTTTTCCACATGTTTATAGATTTGAATAAGTGGATAATGGTTTTCAATGACTTTATAGGTTGATGCAAATGCAAGAACCACTTGCAGTGGCCAAATTTGAACTCTTCTTTGAGTCACGATTCTAAGATCAGTAATTCAAAATGACATTTGCAAAATCATGACTGAACAGTAAATTACAGAGAAGAAGAGCACAGAAGGTAACTCGTGAAACATCTTAGAGTTTTCAAGGATCTGCAGGTACGTGGGATTCAGAAGTTTCAATGGAGAGGATCTGGCTACATCTCAGGTAAGGTCATATTCTGGAAAATGTCCATGTTGTGGTATAGACACAGTGATGCACCTGGGACATCACTCCAGGAACAGGAAATTTCAGTCCTTAAACACAGGACACATCATTTATGATATTTTTCTTCTGAGGTGCAGAGCAGGTTGGAGAGGTGGAGGTGGATTTGGCTTCCACTATGAACGTGACTGTGTTTCCTGTTCACTACTGTAGGATGGAGTCTATGTGTAAGGATGTCATCTCAGCTCTGCCTTCAGGAAGCATGTGTGTGTGTGCAAATGATTTTCCTCTGTTCACTATGTACCTGATAGCAGAAAAACATAGTGATAAGAATTACATTATTAAGTAGGGAGGTATATTTGAATATTTTAGAAAAAATTAAAAATATATATGTGAATGGTCAATACAGAATTAACTAAGATGGAATAAAGGGAATGTATAACTTCAAAATTATGAGAATGTACTTTAAAAAAACATTAATATTATGAAACTAGAAGGTTTTACCTCATGTATTCTCCATTATTTTACTGATACATGGATTGAAATCTAAAAGATGAGAAAGAAAGAAATGTGGGGGAGAGAGAGATAGAAAAAAGAGAGAAAGAGAAGGAAATTGAGAGGGAAAATAGTTATTTTGTAATTTATAAATTTTGGAATTTCAGAACTCCAAAAGAAAAGTGCATGCCCAAGTCCTGCTCAGCCCCCTTGGAGAGGAAGAGCACAGCAAGGCCCCTGGACACTGCCCTGAGTCCAGTCAGGCTGCCCCTCTCCCCTCCTCCCTGAGTTCAGGGCTCCACATGGGGCTGGGGCTGAGCCTGGGGACTGGGTCTCCTGAGGTGGCCAAGGAGGGGAGAGAGCTAGGTTTTCTCTGTCCCTCTGATCTCCCATGGAGACCGATGTGAAGGAGTGAATTTCCTAATCTGAAGCATTTGTTTCTGCATGAGACAACTCCTCACAATTGGGATTAAGTTAGCAGATTCATTTTTACATGATGATGATTAGACACTTAAAAGAAAACTGAGTTCACAAAATTTACAAGGTACTTTAAGATTGGTACTGGTCATGTTTACCCATCAAGTGAAATTTATGTATATAAGATGAAAGAAGTCAATACTTCAATATGTACTTCTGTAATTAAATATAATATAGAGAGAATGTTGGATTCTTCATTGCTGCTTATGCACTGCAGTGTCTGCTCAGGTCACATGATGTCAATACAAGAAGGAAAGCTCAGAGGCCAACAGGAAGCCCTCTCTCCACTGCTTCCTTCTCTGCACCTGCTCCTGGGGGGTCTGCCTAATTCTGTGTGGACCTCAGAGTCATCTGCTGGGCCTGAGGCACTCAGCAGGGTGGTTTGCATATGGGATCACACTGATGTCCTGTCACTGTCTCTCACACTGTAATACACAGTTGTGTCCTTGGGCCTCAGGCCGTGCAATTGCAGATGCAGCATGTTCTTGCAATCGCCTCTGTACACAGTTAATCAGCCCTTCACGGAGTCTGTGTAGTATGTGGTACCACAATCATAATGTATTGAATGAGATTCACTTCAGTCCCTTCCCTGACACCTGCCAGAGCCAGCTCATGTCATAATCACTGAAGGTGAAACCTGAGGCCACAAGGGAGAGTCTCAGGGACCCCCCAGGCTACCCTAAGCCTCTCCCAGACTTCACCAAATGTACTTCATACTGGACACCTGCAAACACAGAGACATGCTGCTCAGCCAACTATCATACAGTTCCACTCTTTATCCCACTCATATCCACTCATGGCCTCAATATCTTTGGTTTCAAACAATTTACCTTTCAAAATTACAAACAGGAAAACCCAGCACAGTCCAAACTCCATAGTTTCTTCTCTGTGTTTAATCCTGATCACCAAGTGGTAACACCTGGGCCTCCAGGGCTGGGCTCCTCTCCAGAGCTCCACAGTCAGGGCTGGGCTGGTTTTCCTCAGCACAGGGAGGACGGACGTAATTGCATTTCCTCCTGCTCTATAGACACCTCTGTGGATGAATAACTCAGACAAGACAATGCATATATCCGATGTGACTGTCCTGGTGTAGTCTGATAAGAATCACTTCATTCAAGAAAATATGAAAACTTGTTGAGATCGTATCTTGGTATTTTTCTAACTCTTCTCCTACTTTCACTTCTCTTGTTCACATAACATGCATTTTTGTATTACATTTGTCTCCATTAGACACATATATTATGAAAGCGTGAGAAGCAGTTTCCTTTTCTATAGGAGAGCTCATGTGCTGTAAATGTTCTACCCACTATCTGACCCTGTACTCTCCTAAACTGTGAGCAAATCAACTCCTGTTCCAGCTTCTGGACAGAGAGAGAGGCACTTCATGATGTTTCTAGTCCCCTCTTCCTGTGGTGAGAATATGTATGACTCTGATCTGTTTTACTGTTTGCAGAGGGGAAACAGAACCAATGTTCATGCTGATACCTGTTAATGAATCTCTCATTTTCATCTGTCATTATTGTCTCTCTGTCATTCTCTACTATCTTATGTTATTTATTTCTGATTGATAGATTTCCCTCCAATGTAGGGTGGCTGCTGTATATAATAGCTACCTTCTTTCCAACACACCCCTACTCCCACCAAAAGAGTAACCTGACACCTGCTCTCCTCCTGGCAACTAGTGACATCACAGACTTCTCCAGTCCTTAGCCACTACCTCCCTCAACCCCACCTCAGCTCCTACAAGCCCCTACAAAAGGCACTTGCTGTCCTGGCCATATTGCTTTTGTCTCTCCTTTGTTCAGAGACAGCCTGGAAGATCTGTGCCCCTAATAAAGGCTTGTTGTGGCCTGGTCTGGTCTTGGTTTTTGGCCCTTTTACCTGAATCTGATGGCTCCTCAGATGCAACACATGAACTGTCCATATATAAAGGGTACACCTGAAAACTATTAACATGTATATACACTGGCAGAACCACACAACATCCAAGCAGTTATCACGTGTCATCCTGCACTGAATTTCTACGCCTATCAAATTAAATTTAATACAATTTCATTTTCTGATCTAATAGATCATGTGTTTTGTAGCTCAACAATCTGCTAGTATATTATCTTCAGGCTTTGACTATCCATTCACTTACGAATAGATATCTTGGATAATTCCTGTGTTTGATAATATGATTAATGCTTCTATAGAAATGCATGTTGATTTATTCCTAGACATAAGACTTCAGTTCAATAATACTTTGAGTATTATGTCTTGGTAAAGAACAAGATGGTCAAGTGCTGAACTACGTGGTTAAGTGTCTTCCTCAAAAGTTATATCATTTGCATTTCTATAACCAATAAATATGACTTAATGTTGCTTTGCCTCCTCACTGACATTTGGGATTGCATGACCTTTCTTTTTGTCCTTTGTAATAGCCATGTGTTGTTATTCATTTTACATTAATGTTCAGTGCAAAATATTGTATAGTTTATTGACTTTCATTTTGACATATTTATATACACATACAACAAACATTGGCAAATTTACCCCTGCCCTCTATCCCATTCCACTGGACAATGTGTCTGCTTTTATATGAGTGCCATGCTGTTTTGATTATGTTTCCTTATTTTTAAGGAATATGCTTTCTATGTCACATCTAAGAAATACTGAGCTTTTTCAAGGTAATTCAACTTCTGATCCATTGTCCTGTGTGTCTGTCCTTCCAGGGGGAACATAGAGTGTAGGGAACAGGGAAAGGGGATGTTATTAGAACCTCTGCAGTAAGTCCTAGTCTCCTGCAAACCAGGGCAGCAATAAGGCGAATTAACTTATTATACAGGAAAGGTAGAAAAAATAGGACTTGTAGAAGCTGAGCTTTGGGCCTGATCAGTGCTGCTCTGGGCAGCAGAGACAAAAGCCCCCAAGCTTGTGGAACCTTTTATTCAGTACATAGGGAGAAACAAATGTAACAGATAATGGAGTGGTGGAATTCCTAGATCAATGAGGAACACACAGATGAAGATTTGGTTCCTCCCAGGGTGTGTCCTGCAGTTGTGGTCTTGCCCTGGAGCATCACAGCATCACGGATCATTGAGGTCTCAGTTGTTACCAGAGGCCAAGGTGGAATCCTGTCTGGAAATGCCATAGCTGGCCTGTAGGTGGGAGAACTAGGCCTAATCAAATAATTTTCCCCTAAAATTATGTAGCATTGCTCCTGACAATAGAGTTCTTTTTAATACTTAATATATAGTTTTTTATTTTGTTTATTTTAGTTTTCCATTAATACATGTTTGCAGTGAATAATGATGACATTCCTCCTAGGGAGTTGGTACATGTACATAAGATATCTCAACTCTTTCAATTCCCTTCCTTCCTCTCCCTCTTTGTTCCCTCCATCAATTGTCCACCTTCTCATTTGCAAAAGATCTATTTCCCTATTAGTTCTTACTGTATCTATCTTCTGTTTTGCTCATTATTTATACCTTGGATTTCTTAATTGTCATGTCCTAAAAGAACAATGTTCTTCTTTGTCTAAAACTAGAAGCAGGAGATCAATTTCAGTATCTAAAGGAAAGCTACAACTGCTGCTTTTGCAACTGGTTCTGAGACCAGGTGTTGATATCTCCTGAGCAACTCTATTTCCCTGGGGCTCCCTCCTGGTCCCCTGTTCCCTGCTGGTCCCACTGTGCCTCACAGGTGACCTGTGCAATCTACTGGTCCTGACCATCCCTGACTGGTCCCCAGGACCCATGAGGGGAAGTTTATTGTCTCCCATTGACTTCCCAACACAATTTGGACCCTAGTAAAATCCTGGGTCCTTGGTTCCTGCAGGTGTCCCTTGAGATGCTGTGTATGGATGGAGTCTGAGACTATAGTTCATCCTCGCCTTAGCCCAGATCATGCCGACCCATTCCAGGCCCTTCCCTTGGCAAAGTCACACCAAAGATACAGAGCATTCAGATACTGAACAGGTGAGTGTGGCACAGGTGAGGCTGATTGTCTGGGAGGAGCGCAGTGTGCCCTGGCCCCACTGGAAAAGTGGTCCTCAGCCTGGATACCTGAGGACAGGTGTCAACCAGGAGTCCCTCAGACACAGCCCTCTCCCCTCACAGCATCCTGAAACCTGAGTCACTCATCACCAGGGGCAGCCCACAGCCAGAACAGGGCCAGGTGGAGGGACATGTGGGTGTGGATGTGGACAGGGGCCACAGACCTGAGCCCAGAGTGACAGGACAGCACAGCACTGCATGCTCCTGCCTATGTTTATCCATGATGAGTGTCTGTCTGCCTGGGTGGAGCTGCAGAGGGATCAGGTTAAGAAGTCACATGAGTGGACTTCACTCTCCTGTGACCTTGCTGTGAGAGGGTCAGGGAAGGCCCATCTTTTGGAGAGGGGAGGGCATTTCCTGATACAGGAAGAAGACTGGACTGTGCCTCAATTATGGGAAACTTCTCAGGAGCCTCTGTGTGGCACTGCATGCTGTTTCCTCTATAAAAGCAGAACTACAAAGGAAACTGACATTTTATGGGAAAAAATATAACATAGACTAGAAAATAATGTTGATTCTTTTAATTAAATAAACAAAAAAGAATCTAATATATCTTATTGATTACCAATATGTATGTAAAAGTGAGGAACACATTGTGCTCTGCTGCCTGGCCTTAGCTGCTCTGTAACCCCCTTACACAGGGTAACTAGTCCACCTGTGGAATTGGATATCTACTGCTCTAAAAATCCATTGGTGAGTGGTGCCGAGGATTTAGCTCAGTGGTTTCACCACCTGCTGCACAAGCGCAAGGACCTGACTTTGATCCCTGATACCAAAAAAAAAAAAAAAAAAAAAAAAAAAAAAAAAAGGGGTAGAATTATGAGAGAATGACCTGCTTTATCATGAAGGCCCCTAACACCAAAATTTCAATAGGTTCAGGAGTGCAATCTGTATATCTCGACTATATGAAGAAAATAGTGTCATTCTTGATCTCTAATTTATCCTAGGAATATTGTCAGTACGGTGTTTTCCAATCAGAGGCCAACACATAGCACAAGACTTGATTTGGGATCTCTACCCTGGAAACTGGAAGGTTCTGCTCTTCAGGGAAGGTGCACAGTGCACAGAGAGGGGACATGGTGGCCTCTACAGATGTCCCATAGGTGCTGGAATGCTGGAAGAACAAGATGGAGTAGCAGCACAGATCTAATTCCTCTGTCTGATGTCATCTCAGTGATGCACCTGGTTATCTATGGTGCTGTAAACAGTTCCAGACTTCTCCTGTATGGGACTAATAGGAGAGGTCAGAGTCAAATCCCAAACAAGAACACCTCACCCTGTCACATGGGTATATATGTGATTCCAAAGTGGGAAGACGAAGTTTAACTTAGAAAATACAATGAGAATGCATAAATATTGACTGTTTTCATACAGTATGAGACTTAAGAAGTGCATAAATAAATACTGATGGGTGAGCATAGTGGTGTCAATGTGTGTGCATGCACATACAGTGACATCACCTTTCAATAAAGAGCTATATATCATACTTCTCAGAAAAGAAAACTATTTTATTCCTGCTGTACATCTACAGGCTCTTTGCTAACATTGCCTGAAGGCTCTTCATGCCACACCCTTCCACTGGGGAAATGCTACATTTCATTTTCTTCATGCATTCTGAGGACAGAGACCTAGAATCTTCCAATCCTCTTCCCTGTCAGTCCCAGTGTTTGCCTTTTCTGAATACAAGGGCCAGTTTTGTAGGCAGCAACTGGGCAGAGATCAGGTGAGGCATCTTCTGTTCCACATAGGTCAGCAAGGGTAATGACGTAGACACCAAACAATACCAATGCCAATACAAGATGTTGGTTAGTAGAGAGGACACTTCCTGGAAAATTGGAAGAGGCTCATAAATAGAAGTTATCATATGTGTGGATTCAACTCCACAGACCAAGGTATATTCCTTTCCTTCCCTCATAGAACAACACAGGAAGTTCCTCCTGAATCAGTCTGTTTCTATGCACCACGGACTTATCTTCAGGTTTGCACTGGTGCATCAAGAGGCTTGACCTTGGGCCCCATGGCCAGGGCCACCCAAGGACACTGGCTCCAGGCCTGCCAATTATCTCTGTCTGAGCTGAAGGATGAAGAGTTGCACAAAGTCAGTCTAGAAGTACAGACATTCTTTGTTTAATGAATTACCTGTTTAACAACTGTTCAGACTTACCACCAAGGCGGCCTGTTTAGACTTACAATCTGCCACTCAGACTTCTAATCCATGCTTTTACATACAGTTCTGCACATCTTTTTTTACAGAGCCTCAATGTCTTTTTTGTACAGTAAACCTTGTTTATACAGTACTGTAATTTTTGCTGATTGTACTATACAGTAGAGTTCTACAGTTTTAGGTTCTCTTATACATTACAGGACTCCATGTAAGATGCAGGCAGACAAAAAAAAGTCATTGAGTTGGAATTTTCTTTGTTCATTTCTTTGTTCTTTGTATTGTAATGTACAAACATATACAATTCCTCATTTAAGAATCTACCAGTGGGAAGTTAATTTGGTTGCTAAAAAAGAGGAATGACTGTACTAAAATCATGACTGCTTTAAATGTGCAGACTCCAGTGGTCATGTAGAATCAAGGAAATGTGACACTACCAAGAAGAAAAAAATATCAAGTGACCCACTCCCCCAAATGGAGACCTACTAACTGCCTGACAACAGTAAATCTAAACAATGCCCTTGAGACGAAGGAGGGACTGGGCATGCAGGCACAAACCTGCACATGAGCCTGCAGACCTTGCATGAGCTCATGAATTTGCTAAAGAGCATGACAAGACACAAAGATCCAGAGGAATTGCTGGACAGATAGGGTTTTGCATCAGGATAAATTTGAAGCAGGAACAGGACAGGACACTGGGGTCCCCACTGCCACTCAACCCCCAGGCCACAGACAAGAGGGGATGGGGGATAAAGCAGTAGAGAGGACAAGGCACAGACTTCATGGATTCCCAAGATTCTGCAGATACCAGGTAGTCCATCTGTATCCATCTCAGAGCACCTTGCCCCATGCTTACATTTCCAGCTTTTGTAGCATTTCTATGTCTATACAATTCATGCAGTCTGTGGAAGTCACACAGCATGGGAGGCTCAAACTCAGACCTTTTCTAAAGACCTCAAGTCTGAAGTATGGCAGCAAAAATATAAAGGAAGACTCCACATTATGTGTTGAACTGCTTTCTCTCTCCTGCTGTCCAATGCTGGAATCATACAGCCTTCCTGCATCTCTCAATAGCTGGTGATCAAAAATCCGCCCTCTGAGATCTGAAGGACAGAAGTGATCTC